AACCAAAACATTCTGTGTCGAATGAACTAGAATGAACTTCTCAATCTTATTCAAATTTTCCTTCACAATCTGTAACTGCAATGAGTTCAATTTCAAACTCAAAGCCAGTACATATACAGACATCAACTTTTTACATTTAAAGAGTTATCTTCTAATGAATCGAGAGTAAAGAAACTATTACATTTTCTAAAAACAATTTGTTAGAACTTTTCTTCTTCTCTTTTTATTATATTTATTACCATCATTCGTTTGTCGCCTCTCTGTAAACCAGATCAAATGTCATAGAACAAAAGGAGCAATGCTACTAGCATAATACGATGATAAGATAAACAGAGAAAGTAGCCTTCTTATGTCAGAAGATGTCTATCCTGACATAGTACAGCTCCATATAATATTCATACAGCAACTTGCGTAGTATAACGAAACACAAATTCGAGATCAAGAGTAGCAGCAACACAATGTGAAGAAAGTGGTAGAACAGAATCTGTCATTAGTGTGGTAGGACGTTTTAGCTATAATGGTGTAACGTCACCTCTAACAGTGTACGTTCAGTAGTATCTTAGTTTGAAGATGTGAGAGAATGTAGTCGTAGTGTTTCGATATTATTAGGGCATGAGACTAATGGTTAAAATGAAAGGGAGTGTGGGTGTGGGTAGGGGTGGGGTGGTTGTAGATGTGGGTGTGGGTGTGTATGCATAGGAACGGAAAGAAGACAACATCCACACCCACACCCTCACCCACCCACACCAGACACCCACGCCCCAATTATAATCGAAAAACTCTCTTATAATTACAGGATATGGCTTGAAGTCCCTGTCTAATAGGAATGTCTAAAGTTGCTATTAATCTTCTATCAGAAACTAATTTATATTGAGTACAGTTAATTGAATTTGTTTTATTACATAACTAAAGACATTAAACAATCTTCACAAGTAAATTTAACAATTTCCTTTACTTTTTTTTGACTATATATTAATCTACTTGTATTTGTCTGAAAATCAAGTCACAGATAATGGAGTACACTATCTAGTCGATACATTAAAAGTCAATAAAGTAAGTTGCTTTTCTAAGTACTGATTTTGATTCTATTACACGAATATTTTCATAAAATTATTAATAGTCAACAGTTAAATCTGCGAATAAACTAAAACAACTTTTGAAAACAAGTTATCAAGATTTTATTTAACAAACGTTGAAGATTTTATATGAATATTCTACTTGTTCAAAGAGGATTCATAGAGTAAAAATTTCGAATTC